CCCAACCCCAACGGCTAGTTTAAGCTTTTTGGGGGGTTTTTTACATAAATACCCCCTAACACCTATATGGGGGCGTATTTATGTATTTTGCTTATGGAGGGGAGAAAAATGACACAAATGCCCCCTAACAGCTATCATATAACAACTAGTTTAGGGGGGCTTTTTGGGTAAGGTTATAAATAACTTTACAATGACCAAAATACCCCTCCCAACAACTAAAAAATAGTTAGTTTTTAGGGTATTTGGAGAAATTGAATTATTTTCAATTCCTATAAGTAGTCCTATCCTCCACCATTCTTCTCATCACGCCAATTCAACAGTCAACATTCAACAATTCTCTTATTAAGTTATTCACTTAATCTCTTCAGTCTTCCTTCCCTCTCTCAGTCTGTTATACATTCTTTGTAATCTAAGTGAACTCTGGTAGTCTCATAGTTTGATTGGCTGATTGTCTGATTCTCCAAGTTAGCAATTTGGGAGGCTTGGAGCCTTGGACGTTGTCACATTGAAAGACTTTAACCGTTGAAATCAAGTTGGGATTTTGAACCAAAAATCCGGGGTAAGTCCAACTAAATTAATTTTATTTTTTTAGAATTTGAAAAAAAAAATGGCCAGCTCTTCCCAAAACCCCAAGTTTAGTAGCTCGATTTGGATAATATTTAAAATAGAGAATGTTGAGGGTAAGGGGAAAAGAGCAGTTTGCCAAAAATGTAGAAAAAACTTTAGCTATTGTAACAAGGGTGGTACTGGCCATTTGATCAGACATTTTCTCACACATGAGAAGGAAGAAGAAATAACCCACAATTTAAATGAATTTTTGAAATAATAAAAAATAAATTTTAAAAATATTGGGAGAAGTCGGAGAACATTTCTCACCACCAATTCCGCCATGGCACGTGATCCATGATCTACTAACCCCTCCGGTGTCTATAGGCTACAGTTCCATCAGAGTCTTGTTTAGTTGTTTTAGTGCAGGACCTGCAGGTACCACTGTACTAGGGTTAGCTAGATGCAGTCATGAATCATGATGCAGAATATAGATTACAACTTTATAATTACAAGATAAAGAAGGGGTGATACTACTACATACATCGGATATTTCATTTTTCACCTAAAGCAGATGATGAAAGTGTGTGAATGCTTTCATCATAATGTATATGTAAATTTTGTTTAAATTGTAAATTTTAACAAATAATCCACAATTTTTTATTTTTTTAAATTATTGTAAATTTTGTTTTAACTTTATTTAATTTATTTTCTATTAATGTAATTTTGTATTTTCAATTTGTAACTATATTGTATTTTTTATATTTTATTAATTTATTCTATTTTAATATTTCATTCATCCAATTGTGAAGTATGAAGTATCCAACCATTGTATATTTCATAATTTCAATATTGTATGCTTTGTAATTTGTATCATTATTCATTCAAATTTAAATGAAATAAAATTCTTAAATTCCTATTTGAATTGTTTTATACGTTTATTTATTTATTTTTGGGTAATCATAAATTCGTTATTATTTGTATCCTGATATCCATTCAGTCTAGTCCGGTTTGGCCTAGGCCCAAGGCCCGCCTTGTGGCCCAGCCTAACACGACCCAAACCCACAGTACGGTCTGCAGCCCGACACGGGCCTGGGCCATGGGCCATGCCGAACTGATCACTAGAATTTTCATCGGGGAGGGAAGCATGGTCCATAATGGCCCATGGGTCAGCATGGCACGGCCCGCACTTTGCACGGGCCGCCTACGGGCCGACCGTGCTGGACAGCCCACTTCACACCTCTAATTAGGTGGGAGATAGATGTTCAATGGATCTTAAATTGACATCAAAATAATAGAAAACCACCTCACATGAAGGATTCCTCATTGAATCAAAATGTTTAATTATATCTTTTCTTTATATTGCTTTATCAAATGTTAGAGTCTGAATTCTCAAGTTTATAAACATATATATAAATTTCTAGTTGCAGGCCAGAGTGAGGCTCCTGCCAATGCAGGGTTTGGGGAAGGATAGTTATAAATTGGGCAGGTTGGGTTGAGTTTGGTTTGGATTGAGCTTCAACTCAACCCATTTAACCTGCAAACCTGTTAATGACCCAATTATATAAAATTAAATGGGTTGGGTTCAACCCAAACCCGTTTTAACCCAATCCAATCCACCCAAACCCATTAATCTTATATTTATGTACATAAAATAAAAAAAAACTAACTCCTCCTTAGCAATAAGTTGGTCATAGCTTGGTGGTAAATAGTAGTTGCTACTTACATAAGTGGTGAAAATTCAAATCACATTACATGCATGTTATTTTTACACAAGTAGCAAAGCCATTTAACTATGTTCGGGTTTCGGATTTGACGAACCACTTAGGTTCAAACTGGTCAGACCATCTTGAACTATCTAATTGGATTGTCTTCGAGCTAATCACATCAAGAGTGGTTGAACTGTTTAGATCCGGATCAGTTCGGTCGGACCAGACCCTGACCGGACCGGTTCAATTTGGTCTGACCAGACTCCAATTGGATCGGTTCGATTCGACCGGACCAGATCGGGATGGTTCAGTCAGTGGTGGATTGAGTTGGGTCGGCTCATGTTAGGTTTGTGCACGGGTTTGTGGCCGAACCGATTGGCCCGAAGCAGGTCAAGAGAAATAAATAGACCGGAACGGATTTGGGTCGGGTTGTGCGGATACGAACCAGACCGGACGATCCAAATCGGGCAAAGAAAGCGGGTGGGTTAGGGTTCTGACCCCATTCGACCCGATAAGTTTCAGATTCGGGTCGACCCAGATCGGCTTGTACTGGTCGGGTCGACTTGTGTGAAAAGTGGTTGGACTGGACAACCCAAAGTGGGCAAAGCAAGTGGTACCAAACCACCCCGTCCGGGGTATATTTTGGATTCGGGTCGACCCAGATCGATATATGCTGGATCGTGTTAGACCTATGGACTTGGGTCAAATTGATTTGGATTTATGATGGATGAAGTGTGTTGATTCAAGACAAAATTAATTTTAGTCAATAATTAATAGAAAATTAATGCATTAATTATAAAGTATTTAATTTAAATGAAGAAAATAAAAAAAAAAGCTAAAAAATTAATACTTTTGTTTATAATAGTTAATCCAATGGTTATCCACAACCCAACCCAAGCCAATCCATTTAAATGGGCGGGTTGGGTGATACCCGCCAAATAAACGGGCGGATTGGGTGGGGTAGATAATGGGTGGATTGGGTGGAAAATTGCCACCCCTACTTACCCTTTCAGTCTATTTCCAAATCAAATAATGTCAAAATTAATTATTCTACCAAATTTTGTATTGAAAGAAAATAGTTTATTGAATTCTCTTACTTAAACATCATTCCGTTTCAAATTGGAATTTCATACTTTACCCTCATATTTCAGAAATTCTGTTATGATAACTTTGTTTTCGAAGATAAATTTTGTGTGAAGGGTTGAGCTAACGTTGGTTTTCTTCATGAATGACCTCTCTCTCTCTCTTGAGCATTTAAATTGGAAAATATCATAAAAAGTTCAGAACTGTTAGTTTGACTGCTTAAAACACCTCTTTCAAAAACCAAAAAGACTGGAAACTGACTTCATCTTTCCTGGTAAAGCAGCCTCCAGAGAAAGTTTTAGTTTTTGTTGCCAAGGAAAAAAATTTAAGACTCGATGGGTCTTCCACATAAAAGAGGAGCATCTGACCATTGGATTGGATTGGCGTCAGATTCAAATTGATTTTTTTTTTGTTTTCATAAATGGGACAGAAATATAGCTCAAATATCTGAGCTTGAAAAGTTATCCACCCAGTTTAATACAAGTAGAAACAAATTAAACAAACAGAGCGTTAGTCGTTTTTGATAAAAAGGAAGATAAAAGAGCTACACACAGAAGACAGAACGGAGGGTATTTAAACAAACAGAGCGTTAGTTTCGAAGTAGAGCAATTGTGAGTAGCTGTAAAAGCCAGATAAGAATGAATGGTAAATCACTAATCTGAAATCGTTTATTAACTAGAAGGCAAAACAACTGGCAATCACATACAGCAGCAGCCAGCAGGTCGTCTATCACTGAACAATAATGGTATTTAATTTCCAATTCCAAGTTCCAAAGCTTCTGTCTTACTGCTCAACTCTGTTTTACAATTTCCATTTCTTGATCAGTTGAGCGAGAGAGCAATAAGAAGACCCACCTCCACCTTCACTCACACTACTCACTGCCCCATCTGTAAGCTGCTTCATCCGACTCCTCAAGGCCTTACCTTGGTTGCCTTCCATGACCAATCTCACCATTCTCTCTATCTCTTCACGCCCCATCACCGCCCCTCCCCTTTCCGATGCAATTTTCACTCGGACCGCCACTCCCAGATCCTCTGTCAACATTACTGCATTCATCTTCTGCTCGGCATGGAGCGGCCATGCAATTACTGGCACCCCATGAACTATGCTTTCTAGGGTCGAGTTCCAACCACAATGTGACAGAAACCCACCCACTGCTGCATGCCCCAGTATTTCCACCTGTGGAGCCCATCCCCCAACAACCATCCCTACCCCTTTGCCTTTGATCCTCCTCAGGAATTCTTCTGGTAAATACCCATTTGGGTCGTTGGGCCCACCACTTTCTGCCACGTAATTTGCTGATATCACCACCTTGTCCTGAGGGGGACGGACGACCCAGAGGAATCGCTGCCGACTCAGTTCCAGACCCATTGCCAGCTCAACCATTTGCTCAGCCGATAAGGACCTACCACCACCCCCAAACGAGACAAAAAGCACCGAATCCGGCGGATGCTTGTCCAGCCACGTCAGACACTCATTCTCGCTGCTCAGTGGGGCCGGGTTCCTTATAATGGGGCCCACCGCATGGACGGGTGGTAGGGGAATCTGCTCTAGGAGCTTACCATCCTTGAGAGCACTGAACATCTGCGGCTCGAGATCCTCAAATGTGTTCACCAGAATCCCTGTTGCCTCGTTGAATCGTCGTGCATGGTGCAAGAGAAACCTGTAACCCCCACTCTTCCTATCTCGAAAGTAATCGTCGAGGTCATCGACTCGAACCGGCTTACAACCCGGGACTGGTATGGGCTCAGTGAGTTCTGCAAACTCGCCCGCGATCTCCTGGTCAAACCTGGGTAGATACCCGATGAACGTGAGCACTTTTGCATTTGACGTGAAGAACAAGTACTTGGTCATATTAAAAGCATCTCCGACGTCGAATGCGTCGGTGGCGAACATGTCGACGATGAGGACTGTTGGTGGGTGTGCCGAGGTGGCGATTGAGGAACGAATGAAAGTGAGCGATTCCCGGACGGTGATGGAGAGGTGAACTGGTAGATCGGTATCCATGTCGGAGATAGGAAGGGTGGGGAGGTTGATGAGGGTGAGGCCACCGGGAAGATGAAGCGAGGAGAGTAGGGTTTGGAGGGCTGAGGTTTCTGAAGCAGGAACAAAGAGGGTAACTTGGACGCCATGAATAGAGACGAGACACTTTGCGAGCTGCAGAAATGGAATTAAATGGCCCATGCCTGGAGTTGGGATCATAGCTACGTGAGGCTTTTGAGGTTTTAGGCTCCCCATTACAAGTTACAACTGAACTAACTCTCTCTCTCTCTCAAGTTACAAAAAGAAGCAGAAAATGTTCAAAGGCGTCCCAAGATTAAATACAAAGATTTGAGGTGTATTAAGTATTAGCAGTTTGTTTGAGGCTTGTCAAAATAATTAATTAGGAAAATCCGTATACGTAAAACCTTCACGCTTCACTGGTCAATGATAATCGTTGAAGTTGTTCAACTGAATTACTTATTCTTTTGTCTTGTAGCGGATAAAATAATTAAATGAAATAAAATAGGGCAAATCTCTTAATAATCACCAAGTTTTAGGAAATATACTTATTCTAGGCTATTTAATTTAGACTATCCTCAGGTTGTATTTGGTTTGAAGAAAAAAAAGTAAGGAAAGGTAGAGAAACCTTTTACGAATTAAATTGTATAAGTTTCCCTATTTTTTTTCCTTCAAATCAAATATAACCTTAAAAGTTTTTTAATAATTGACTTGATTGTATTGTTAAACATTCCATCACAATGTGGTGGTCGCATGTGACATCATGTAACATGTAAATTTTTTTAAAACTCAAAATGACCCTTTTATAGTTGATTTTGTCTTTTATTCTTTTTTTTTTAATTTTCAAAATAAAACCTATTGAGTTGATATAAGATTTTTCCAAAAAAAAAATATATGTTAAAACCAAGAACATTTAATGGGTAAGTACAATCAGTTTCTGTAATTTTGATATCTCTTATTTTCTATTAGTTTAAATTCTTCTCTCTAATTTAATACATAAAAGGATTTTTTTTTTTTTTGTTTTCTAAGACTGCATTTGTTTGAGGTATAAATTCAAATTTTACATTAGGGGGAAAAATGTGAATCTATTTAGCGATAGATGGAAATTAGGACCGGTTGATTTTAAAAATTTACATCGATTACGTTTGGTTTTCTATGGTGTAAATTTTCAAACTGGGTCTGTAACGGGAAGTTGGGCACCAAGCTGGTAGAATGTTGAACCATCGCGCTGAAACCTGAAACTATCAGGAGTCGGATCGTTCTCGTCGGTCCATGCCCTTAGAATTCGTCCCCCTTCAAGTGTCATTCCCGGAAGAAACGTATCGGAGGGGTGATCAACATCATTGACGAAGCTCTGCCATATTGGGTTGAGATTTCCGTTCTGCCCACCATCAACCCCTCCTGTCAAGATAAGATTGCCAGAATCCAAGGGCGTAGCAGTCGTGTTAACCAACGTAGTTGAACCCTTCATTGTTGGGGACCAAAGAATGTCTCCTCCGGGTCTATCTCGGAGCCTGAGCTCTCCGTCCTCGATGGTAAAAACTCCAGTACTATTTGGAATTGCGCGGTTTCTGTTGGCGATCCATATAATTGTTTGAGGAGACACACCATGGTACCAAATCCCCAGGTACCGCTTGTTGGTAGAGTTTCCAGGAGTGAAGAACCCTAATTCGAATCTGCCTCCGGTAGAAACAAGAGTTTCTCCTTGTTGTCCGTTGAGGATGGGTTGATCAGCAGTTATGGTATCTCTTGCTGCGCAAAATAATGGGGAAGAGCAGGATAAGACGAAGAAGAAAAAGAAGATGGGGCTACCATTACGAGTAGGAGTCCACCGGATGTAATTCATCATGTTGGCTGCTGCTTCTTCCATTCATCATTAATTAATATCTCAGAACATAAAAAGAAGACAAGAATCATGTTGGTAGACTGGTAGTAGAGTGGAAACTTACTACGCCGGTGAAGAAGCTTGCGGCATGGAGGTTGAGCAGAGAAGAGGTACAGATCTGCAACACCGATGGTTCCGTTGAAGACTGATCAGAAAAGGGGAGAAGGGGGAGAACTGCTACTTCTGGAAGTTGCAGTGGTAGGTACGAACAGACGAGAGTGAAACCGGGGAGGAAGAAGAACGAGGAAAGAGAGAGAGAGTCCATTGAGTTTTGAGAAGATGCTGAGTTTTACATCATTTTATTGGTATAACTTTCTACCGATTTTCGATGTAAAATTTACTTAAAGTGAAATTTTACACTCATCTAACATCTCATCAAACGTATGTAAAATTGAACTGGAGTGTAAAGTTTATCCCGATAGTGGAGTCTTCAAAGTTGAAGACTAATCGGAGAAGGGAAGAAGGGGGAGAACTGCTACTTCTGGAAGTTGCAGTGGTAAGTACGAATAAACGAGAGTGAAACTGGGGAGGAAGAAGAACAAGGAAAGAGAGAGAGAGAGAGTCCATTGAATTTTGAGAAGATGGAGTTAAAAATTACCTAAAGTAGAATTTTACACTCATCTAATATGTAAAATAACATCTAATTTAAAAATGGAACTTGAGTGTAAAGTTTAATCCAATTAAATTTTTCGCCTCAAACAAAGACAGCCTACTGTTTTACTGAAAATATCAGAATGAGCTTTTGGGAATCCCATTTTATTGAAATTTTGATTTTTCCCATTACATGGCACCTTAATTCTTTATCAAATTCTTCTCTCTTGAGATCCTTAAATTTCCTGTTGTGTACATATACATCAAGTAGCAATGTAGGTATTTTTTTTAATACTTGAATCTATTTAATCTATTTTTGCTTTTTTCCTTTTAATCGAAATTATGGGTTTTGGGCTGTTGTTGTTGAGACCAAATCAGCCCCCTATAAAATTGCCTCCCACAACTGTCATGTATTGGAAGCATCTCCCCATTATAATATCAGAAATGATGATGTCATCATCGAAAAACATTCCCAATATACGAAGAAAATGTGCTGTGAGACATTGTGGGGGGCTGATTTGAACTCCTTGTTATTTGGGTACTTTTCCTTAACATATTTATTTTTTTAAAAAATCTTATTTCAATCATTTTTATATGTCAATTTATGTATATGATATTGACAATGGCGTCCATATCATCAAGTGAACTGATTGATTGCCCAGCACAGCAAATACCGGTGGTCATACTGCCATACGAATTTTGAATTCTGATTATTCCCTTTGAACTAGTGTTTGCTTATTCCATTTTGGAGCAATTGAGTCATTTTATTGTCACACTCGCAATCATTCTTATTTTTCCAAATTGCATCTGCTCATAAAATGCATAATGTATGAACTGCATTATTGAACTTGAGACAATTTAGAAGTAGCGATGACTGTTTCTAGGCTTTCTGAAGTATGCACTAGAGCTTATTTGGCCTTAGAAAAAATCACTATCTTTGAGACAATTCAATTCTGTAATGGAAGGTATTGAAATTTTGAAAATTTAAAGAAGAATGAAGGATAAATTAAAATAGTTTTTTTTTTTCATCTTTCCGTTAATGATTATTAACAATTGTCAATTGTCAGTCAGATTCAGCCATTAAGGAGGTCACAACCTCCTTAAAAATTTATTCTCTAAGACAAAGCAATAAACTCTTCATTTCAAGGAATTTCAATTGTTATCAAATAGCCCCTAATGCTCAATTTGGAAGGAGTATAAATACATACAAGTACAGTGCAAATGCACATAAAATACAAACTAAGCTTTATAGGGAGATATTTATATTTACACTCTTTGTACGTATTAGTATTGTACATATTTATATTTACACTTTCCAAACTAAGCTTAATAACATGCACGCAAGTAAAGACTTTGTGCGCTTGGCATCAAGTTGCACATCTAGAATATCTCTTATATGTTAAATTTATAGGGAGATATTCCTAATGTGCTTATATGTTAAATTTATAGGGAGATATTCCTAATGTGCAATCGAATGCTCATGATTTCAGGATGTCCATAGACCTTTTGCTTTTAGGAGATCCCATTTCAATTGATAAACTCTTTGGTTGATTGTGATAGATACTTTGGATTGAATCCTACTGTTCATCACCAGGTTGGGGGGTTATGGATTTGGGGATGGGTTACCCTTGTTGTGTTGCTCCATGGTAGAGGTGTAAATCGGTCTGTGCTGCCCGCGGCCTGGCATGAATTTGGACCGGCTTGACATGATCGTGCGGGCCATGCTGGGCCTGGGGTTTTAGGTCCATGGGCCGGGCCAGCATGACACGATCGATTGAACGGGTCGTACTGCCATGGCCCGTGTGCTGGCATGACTGACCCATATATATTATTTATATAAATTATAATTATATAATAATATATAGTATATAATATATTAATAAAATAAATAATTTTTTTAATTTTATTATACTAATTTATTTAATTATTGTATATATAAGTAATTGTGTACATCAAAATTCATATAAAATTAAAATTTTAAGTTTTTTGTCATTTTTTTTAAATAAATAACTTTGGCTCAATGCACGACTCGCCTGGTCCAAGACTTGGCCCACGGGCCCGCATGGGCCTGGGCTATGGGTCGTGCTGGATCGACCCCTCAAGTTATCCAAGGGGAGTGCAGCATCGCCCGTTTTACACCTCTACTCCATGCTACCCAAAAAATCAATAAGCAAGTAAGCAAACAAACAAGTAAACATCACTTGTGTTAATTGAATTTTAAAGGTTAAAAGACTTAAAACATACCCCAAGTTTCATAAATTAATTTAAATGTGCCCTGGGGGTGTTTTGGAAAGATTTAAATATACCTTATAACTTTTTTATCCTCCATTTCTTTCAAATTTTCAAAATATATCCTGAAGTTTTCAAATTCATGTGGGTGGTGAGTATAGAAAATGGGTGGATGCCTAGACGGATAAATAGAGATACTATGAAATGAGAGTCAACCAAAACTCATGCCAGAAGCCCATGGACCATGGTGAGTGGAGGCACCCAATATCCTGAAGTACAAATCATGCATATCCATTATCTAGTGTAACTCTAGTCCAACCTGATTAATGAGTCGTCGCTAAATTAAACATGTGCATATCCATTATCCAATGTAACTCCAAGTCCATGCACTAAAACCTGATTAATTATCATGTCTTTTGGTGATTGATGATTGGGGAACACAGGATATGGAATGAGTCACTAAAACATGTGCACGGCAGTAGAGGGCCGTTTGGGTTGAATCATCTCTCACAGTCCATGTATGTTTAACCAA